TGGTAGCGGTGAAATTTTTTTTTTTTTTTTTGCCATACAACGTGTACTTGCTAGAGACAGAAACAGAGAGAGAGAATGCGAAGAATGCAAAAACCACCTCCGGGGGCATGGCCACACTGCAATCTCTTCTCCTCAATTCTCTTAGGATTTTTGGGCACATACACACATACTCAGTGTGATTTTCAGTCTGCAAACAGTTGTTCAACTACATTGGTTAGGAAGTAATGATGGGAGATGTCCCTATGCAACTAACAACCGCTGTAAGACTAACTACATGTTGGGTCGTCCGAAGAGTCATGACACAATTTCCCATGCATCTTCTTCTCTTCTTTCCCATGCACTTTCCTTCTCTCTCTGCCTCTCTAGAGGTCAAATTAAAGTAACAATGAGTAAAATTAAAATATAATTTTAAAAAAAGAGAGAGACAAACAAGTCTGGTAGTCTTACTTTTTGAGATGCTAGAACTGATCCTGAGTTCATGTGTGTCAGCTTGGTTCCTCCATTAAAAAGAATCCCCCCCCCAAAAAAGAATCCCATCAACCTTTCAACCTAATGGTTCACCGATGATCTTCACTTAGATTGATAGTTTCATTAGGAGTCAGAAAATCGTGATTTTTTCCCTATCATTTCTCGCTACAATTATTAGCTGGAATTTTTATATTAAAAAAAAAAAGAAAGAAAAAAGAAAACGTCTGGAGCCAGCAGGTGGTATAATGTTTAAGGTGCTGGATCCCACATGGCCAGCTCAGCAGTTCGAGTCCCAGTCTCTGTGGATTGAAAACATGCCAGGGGTGTGTGCATGCATGCCCAAAATCCCAAAAGGAAAACGGAGAAGGGATCATGGTGTGGCCATCTCCCCTGGGGGATGATTTCTCACCTTCTTTCTCTTTTCCCTAAGGCAAAAACAACAAAACTTCCTTTGACTATTTGATTATCCTGAATACAGTTCACACAGGAAAGGCAGGATAAATTCTTGATTTGTATTTACCAGTTTTCAGAGTAGAAAGTGTGGTTCTATGGGCCAGTAGATGGCATAGCAGTTACAATGCTGGACTGCCAGATGGCCGATGGCAGTTTGAATCCTGGACCCAGGCTTGAAAATCGTGCTGGGGGTGTGTACTTGAATGCCCAAGGTTCCCGGAGGAGAATGGAAGAGAAGGGATTGCGGGGGAAATCACCTAGGGGGTAACTTCTCACTTTCCCTCTCACTATCTCTGTCCTCTCTCCGGCAAGTGCACAGGCCCTAGGGCAAAAGCCTCTATAAAAAAAAAAAAAAAAAAAGGCATGGTTCCACAATGTATGATGGCAATAAAAGAGGTTTCTGAAAATTCCATAGAATCATAGATTATAGGCACACACATGAACTTAATACATTCTCATAGACAGATGGATATATTTCAATCTGTAAGTGAGAATAACACATTCATTGTTCTTTTTCATGTTCGATTCATGTAGGCCACTAAGAACTCTTTAAAGGTGGCTCCTGTGCCCACTGACATAATTCTATGACTTAGACGGCATCTTTGCTTTCTAGGACAATAAAATGTCCTAAACCCATCTTATGTATTTCTTATCCCATAGCTGGAAAGCCATCTCCAAGAAGTCCTGTTTCTTTTTTAGTGGGAAAGGTTTCTAGGACTTAATAAAGTGGCAGCTGGCCAGGATGTTAAATTTACATAACATATACATAATTTGTTCAATTCCATCCTTCTTTTCAAGTGTGAACAGAGAGAGTGGAGGAGGAGGGAGAACCCCCAAAGAGTCTTGAGGCCACAATCCACTCCCAGCCTTCAACTACCCTTGCATCCTAGGTACACACATGCCCAGCATATTTAAGTTCTCCAGACTTGAACTAGGAATCTTCCCACTGAAAACTGCCTCAAAGAGCATCACATTTTATCGCTGCACCACTGTCTGGCCCCTTTTTTCTTTCTAAAAAGTTTAGTTTTTCCTCCTTCAGAGTGAAAGAATTGGGGAGGGGTGGAGAGAGGCAGGCATGCAGGCAGGCGGGCAGGCAGGCATCCTCAACAGGATCCCTGCTATAATGCACTGTTTCCACCAGCTTGGAATACAATAATGTGTGTGCACCCAGTGTACTCAGAGAGGTTCTAGATGTGAACCCAGAGCCCTTCTCATCTGGGTTTAAGCTGTGTTATCACAGTGTCACTGCTTGGCCCCAAAACTTTGATTTTTAAATGAAGAACCTTGAGCTGGCAGGTGGCAGCTGGATCCCACATCGCTGACAGTGCTGCTCAAGTCCTGAACCTGGCAGCTTGAAAATCACACTAGATGTGTATGCATGTGTGCTCAAAATCCTGAGGAGAATGAATTTTGGTGTGGCCATGTCCGCTGGGTGGCCACTTTCTTACTCTGTTTCTGTAAGAGCACATGCCCTACAGTAAAATAAAGAAATAAACAAAAACACACACATAAAAAAAAACCAAAAAAAAAACCAACTCTTTCTCGATGTCAAAGAAAATGAAAGAGAATGAAAAATGGCATTACAAAGTGACTGACTTATTGGGTCATGAATTACATTAAACTACAAGTCAGATCAAATTCACTTTACACAACTATGGCGAGTGCAAGCTCTGTTCTAAAAACAGAAACCCAGGACATTTGGGGGGAAAGGGAAAGCATCAAAGCACAAATCTAGCATGTCTAGCCTTGTGAAGTCTTAAGTTTTATGGATGTTAGGCTTGTGAATCCAAACTGGGATAGAATACTGACCTTCTACAATGACAGCTCCAGGTTCTTCTGCTTGGCCAACAGCTTCTTCATATTCCCCAGAGCTGTCGCTGTCAGAAACAGAACTACTTGATGCCTGCATGTCTTCAGACATAGGATTCCTGGTCTCAGAATCAGAAGAGGGAGTTGGCAAGTGAGGCTGGGTCCTGCTCACCTGAAAGTAAGCATCCAGTGGTGCTCTCAACCTACATATACAGAAAAACACAGAATTACAGCACAGTCGAGCACTGTCACAAGAATAACCCACAGTGACTCGAAGGAAATCTCAGTCATTTCAACCAATCTCAAGGCCACCAAATGCTGCCTCTGAAAGCTGAACAGCAGATTTAGGCAGTCCTGGATATTCTCTTTTTCACTCCATCACTGCTCCATTAGCCTAGACTAGAATGTAATCCTCTGCAAAAAGCTAATGTTCTTTTATTGGTCTTTGGCTAAGTGTTAGTATCTGTAAAAGATATGACTCAGCAATCTGCTGATATTAAGTTGTTGAAAAGGCAGGGCGGAAAAAAGGCCCTGTTGCCCAAATATGACTTTTTAAAAAAATAATTATTTAATTTTATTTATTCATCCATTTATTATAATTTTTGAAAATCTGACTAAAAAGAGAGAGAGAAAAAATGGGAAAGCAAGCCACCAGGTCCAAGACTCAAACTGCGGTCAATCATGTGGGAGTGTCCGGCATCTTAACCATCACACCAATTGCTGGTCCTCTGGTCCTGCCCAAACATGACTTTTCGGGCTTCTGCTACTGCAGCTACCCAGACCAAAGCCTTATGGGTAATAGTACAAAGTCTGGCTTCAGGCATCACTGCTTTACCTCTTACTTCAGGACACTACTTTTCTCTTAAAATCTATTCAGGCTGCCCAAGCTTTAACAATAACCACAACGAAACCTCCATTTTCCTTATTTCTGGGATAACAAACCATATTCCACCCATATCACGCAATTCATGAAATTCTATGTTAAAGATGAAAAGGGTATTCTGAACCTTTTAGCACACTGCCTAGCTAATAATTACAAAGGCAACAAATTTTAAGTTTTAATAACCTTCTTTATATTATCCAGAATTATTGTTGGAGTCTACTCATACAGAAAAATTTTGATCGTAATAGTTTGGCTGTAATTATGACAAATTGGAATTTTCTATTAAAAAAGTGCATGACTGGGCCAGCTGGTGACACAGTGGCTTAAGTGGCTGGATTCTCCTACGGCTGGCGGCTTGGTTTGAGTCTCAGTCTTGGAGGCTTGAAATACATGCCAGGTACATATGCATGCGTGTCCAAAATCTCGAAAGGAAGGAATGGAGAAGGGACTGTGGCAAGATCATTCTGCATGGGTGGTGCTTTCTCCTTCTCACTATCCTCCTCTCTCTCCAGTGAGCACATGCTACCTCCAACAAACTAAAAAAAAGATGAAGGAGTACGTGATTGAATGGGAGAAAATAAGCATTGCTTGGTATCCAATTCAAAAAAAAAATAAACCCTTATAAAACTAGGAGTGAGAGGGGAACCAGCAGTTAGCGTAATGGCTATGTTGCTAGACTCCCATGTAGTCGACTGTGGTTCGCGTCCCGGACCCGGTGGCTTAAAACTCACACCGGGTGTGTGTGCATGCGTGCCCAAGATCCTGAGAGGAGAATGGAGGAGAAGGGATTGCAGCGTAACCATTCCCCTTGGGGGGTGATTTCTCGCTTTCTGTCTCTATGTCTCTCTCTCTGTCTGGCGAGCACATGCGCCCTATAGCGAAAACCTCTCCAAAAAAAAAAAAACCAACAACTAGAAGTGAGAGGACCAGCAGTTGCCAGCAGTTGGCGTAATGGCTATGTCGCTGGACTCCCATGTAATCAACCATGGTTTGAGTTCCGGACCCGGTGGCTTGAACTCATGCTGGGCGAGTGTGCGTGCCCAAGATCCCAAGTAGAGAATGGAGAAGGGATGGATTGTGGTGTGTCTACCTCCCCCCAGGGGGTGATTTCTTGCTTTCTGTCTGTGTTTCTCTCTCTGTCTTTCTGGCGAGTGCACACGCCCTATAGCAAAAACCTCTCGAGGAAAAAAAAACAAAAAACACAACTAGAAGTGAGAAATTTCTAAAATGAGACATAACAAAGAGTTTTCTTGTTTGAAATTAAGATAAAACTTATATGCCATAAAATTCACAATTTTAAAGTGCACAACTTAGTCGTTTTTAGCATAACTACAGTTAATGTAAGGATAACTACTACCAGATTCCGAAATGTTTTCATCAAATCCCAGCCCTCCAGCTCCTCAAGGTACTGGGTGCCTGTGTATACCCAGCATTTCAGGCAGACCTGGGGAATCTGAACCTGTGCGGCTTCCAGTTTTGCAGGGCACTGCATTACTGCTGTATGACAGTGGCTGGGCCTTTAATCCTTTTTTATTCATTAAGTCACTGGTTTGGTTTGCTAATATTTTATTACAGAGTTTTGGAATCAGGGTAATATTGGCCTCATAGAATCAGCTGAGAAATGTTCCTTCAAACCACAGGAGTTACTTCTGCATTAAGGAATTTGGTAGGATACCATCACAAGGAAAACCATCTGGTTCTGGGCTTTTTCTGTGGGAAGTATTGTTTCCTTTCTTCCTTTCCTTCCTCCTTTCTCTCTCTTTCTTTCTTTTTAAAGGTTTTTGCCACAGGACGCATGTGCTGACCATAGCAAGACAGAAGTGAGAAATCACCCCTCAAGGGGGGATGGCCATGCCGTAATCCCTTCTCTCCCATTCTCCTCTAGGGGTTTTGGGCAAACACGCACACACACATGCACACCTGGTGTGATTTTCAAGCTGCTGGGTTCAGAGCTTGAATAGCAGTTGTCCATGCCGGAATTGAGTGCCTTAACCACCTGGCCACTTGTTGGCCCTTATTTTTCTTTTTAAATTACTCATTCAATCCCTTGTTATTGGTCTATTCAGATTTTCTTTTCTTTTTAAGAGAGTATTGGTAGTTTACCTCTAGAAATCTATCAATTTCACCTATGTCATCCAATTTAATAGTATAGCTGTTCACAGCGTATGTTTACAGAATTATTTGTTTCTGTAAGGTGGGCAGTGTTCTTTCACTCCTAATCTTTAAAACAAAATATCTATTTAACTTCACTTATCATCATTTTTACTTTTTTTTTTTTTTTTAAGTAAAGTGTCTCTTCTATTTTTTTTTTGGAGAGGTTTTCGCTATAGGGCGTGTGCGCTCGCCAAACAGACAGAGACATAGAGACAGAAAGCGAGAAATCACCCCCCCCAGGGGGGATGGTCACGCCGCAATCCCTTCTCCTCCATTCTCCTCTCGGGATCTTGGGCACGCACGC